GAATGATGAGTGAAAGCACCAGAATTAAATAGAAACAGTTGCATAATTGCACAGCTTAACAACTGTTTTTCATATTTGCTTATCTTCTTTAAAATTAATTAGCAATTGTATTTATTTATACACATATTTTTATTTGTGGTTTAGTGTTGCCAACCAATCATTTTTTTTAGTAATGTCATATTTAGATTTTGTTAAAAAAATTTTTGTAAAATTGTTAACAGTCGTGCTATAAGTACTTGAAAATGTTCTCGATAGGCAGGAAAGTTACCAAAAACATGTAAATGTAATAGTTCCTAATACTGCTAGCTTCCATATATCCTAAATCTTATTACTGGAATTTGTGTAAGCTGTGCTATAGAGGCTCTGCCTAGTACTTGTATTCAGAACAGACACAACAAATACATTAGGCACATTTACAGATCTAGGTGTATTTTGCAGCAAAACTCTGTACTATGCCTAATCTAATGGAGTCATTTTAACAGCTAGAGGATGCTGAGCAAAAATAAATAACAAAGGGTTAAACTGACTTTGAAACACCTGAGGGCAACCATAAGCAGATGACCTGTTATATCAGTCAACTGGTGGCTACCTGGAGTTATTCCTGTCTTCATGCAATGAGCATCATTTGCCTGTTTTTACATTATGCCTTTGACCCATGAAGGAGAGGAATTTATTGCACACAACTTTCATATGATGTAGACAGGTCTTGAATGTATTTTGCCCCAGTACTTTTATTTGTATGTTATATTTACAGGGCTTTCTCTTTTTTTCTCGGTGTGTAAATATATTTGTTTTGATTCAGATCTCATTTGTTTAAACATAAAGAAGAAACTTTCCTTGACAGTGAATGCATTTTCATACACTTGCTAAAAGTGGTCTTGTGTTTCTTTGCGACAGTGCCAGAGCTGGCAAAAAAAAGTGCATGAACCTACCATTTCCTAATCTTTAGTCTTAATCTTCCCTAAATGTATTCACTTGTTTTCCTGTATTGGTGAGTATTATTGCTGGCTTTATGCTTGGTTTATTTTAATTAAAATTAAAATGACATGGTTATCTTTTAAGTGACCACATAGGCACATAATAGCATTGAGGAAGGTTAAAACAATTGGTAGGAATTCCAGGCTGTGATTTATTGTTATTCCCCAGCAATTAACCCCCTTTACAGTTGGAGGTGCCTGTAGCTTGTTTGCTGACACTTCAAACACTGCAAGGGTTAATCTGCTGTGCCCCTACCTCTCCTCCCTCCACTTTCTTCCTCCCCACCTCCTTTTCAAAGAGGCAGGGTGGAGATGGGAGTGCTCCCTCTGGTCATTCAGTCCGAGATGTGTCTGCTGTCTGTGTTGTGATAGTGTGTCCAGAATTAAGCAATACTTTTTGTAAGCAAAGGCATTTCAGCCGTTCAATGGTCAATATAATTTTGTAGCTTCCGCTTGTATCCAGAAACATAGTGCAGGGGCCAGTCCCTACAGGAGACAGACTATTAAGTGTTAACCAATTAAACTTAAAATTATTTTTCCCAAGCTTTTTTTTTTTTCTTTTTCTACCGTCTGTTCAGATGACACTAGCAGTGTGGTGTCTGCTTTCTATGAAACTTTTCAATATTTTTTTAAATCTCCTTTTCTAATTGTTGATGCAAAATCACAGTGAATGCCGATCAATGTTTTACTTTGTAATTAGCAGCAATATTCGGTAACCTTCCTTGGAATGTTACGATTGCATAATATTCATTCATTTCAGGTAGGTATGTATCTGTTCTATATCAAACCTTTTTACTTTAATCATATCCCATTTGTCATTCATTTTCTTGTCTAATTTTTAGTAATTATAGGGGTTATTTACAAAAGGGCATAACTTTCATACCAGACTAGAAAACCCTTTGTTCGTCTCAGCAATCCAATCAGGTTAGGAGGAAAATGTCTCCTAAAAAATCTGAATTGATATTTACAGAAAACCTAGTGTTTTGCTGGTCTTTTGTGAAACTTTTGCCAATATTACTAATCAGAAATAGAAATGTTTTGTTATAACTTCCTGTTAACCATATTCTGTCAATAAACTTACTCAGTATAGTAACTCAAGCCCTGTGAATGAAATTGCTGTCTTTGCTGCAGGAAGTTTTTTTTTTGTTTTTTTTTACCAGATCAAGGCATTGCATATTGTTTCTAGTCACCAGACATTTTACTGGGAGTTGCGGCAACCACAATTGTAATTCTCTTTATTTTTAATCATGGTTTTAAATAGCTGAGTCTTCCATTACGCCTGTGAACTTTGTTAATACATCACTGAACTATGAACAGCAGTGCACAGGAATGCCTGAATAAGGGCTAGTCTGCATATCCTTGTGGCTATATAATAATCCCCATTTCAATAATAATCCTAATAGGCACCAAAGGTCCTGTTTTTACCTTTTGTCCACTAAAGAGAAGCTTAGGAAACAGTATGTTCTTCCTACTAAATCACTGAAATCTTATATATGTTCAGGGCCTGAAGAAGCATCAAGGGCTCTGTTTAACAAAGCCTTAGGGAGGTGAGCAGAGTTCATAGATGATTTGTAGCCAGAGACACCAATAAAATATGCTCTGCTTTCATGCATGTGTATTATCACATCCTTTGCTTTTGTTGTCCTTACCCATTTGCTGTCTGATCTCATGGCAATTGCCTAGGGCCTCTACTTTGCAGGGGCTCTGTAAATCAGGGTTTTTGCTGACTCCAATAAAACGCTTGTGATATCATCTGTTTTATTGCATTATAATATGTGTTGCTCTTAGGGTTAATACCGGGTTCACTGGGCATTTGTGAGCATCTAGCTATTAATGAGCAAAAACAATCAAACATAGAACTTACAGCTTCTTAGGTTTGAGAAGAGGTTGCTCTGGTGGAGAACCAAGTCAGCTTTATTTTAGATTCCACTTTCCAAATTATGTTGCTGATTAGCAATATGTACTGGGTCCGCTGGTTGAAACACTGCATGGGGAGCCTATGTACAAGTCTAAAGACTATTTACAAAGATGTATTACGCCCAATCAAAAAAAGCAAGTACTATTGAGAGAAAGGACTATCAGGGTTATTCACAAAAGGGTGAAGAGTTTGGAGAAGGCAGGAGAAGTGAACAATCTAGGACAACATAGCTGAAGTGGAAAGTGAGATGAATTGGAGGATTTTTCCAAATCAGCTATTCTGGCCTAGATTGTTCACTTCTCCTGCCTTCTCCAAACTCTTCACCCTTCTGTGAATAACCCTGTATGTGATCAATGTGGTCTGCCACTCCAACCTTCATTTGTTTTGAAGAAGTGTTAAACAAGTTGTAAGCATCCATCCGCATTTAGCCTTTAGGCACAATACAGAATTAGTACACAAAGTACCTGCAAATGTTGTGTGCCAGAAACGCACAATAAATGCTTTATTGTGTCCTTAAAGTAAACCTGTGTTGAGTAGGAAAACCCAGTCATTTTGAGAATTAGTTTTCACATGAACATCCCCCTCTGCCTCCCACAGTGCCATGTGCTTGATATTAGTAACATCACTTATGGGGCCAAGCACTTTCAAATAGTACTGTATGTGTTTGCATAGGGCTTGGGCACTGGATCAAGCCAGTAGGGGAGTGCAGCAAAAGTTAAAATTGGCATTTTATAATGCATCTTATGCGTGCATGAGCATAGCCAGTAAATATGGCAGAAAAAAGAAGTCTGATAATTCCACCTTCCAAGGTTTACCAATTTAACTTTAGTCTAACCCTTGAAATAAGGGATCTACGCTATATCAGCCAAATTAGTGAATCTCTACCAAATGGGCAGATGTGTTAATGGGATCATTCTCTTCCGTGATTTACCCTTCGTTATTTAAAGCAAAGAGTGTTCAATGATTTGGATCTGGATCCTTTTGAATATCATCTCTTTGTAGTTATTGTTTGTTTGCACTTTGCATGCTGCCATTATGACATTTCCTTGAGTACATGTACATACTGAGTGATTCAGGAGTGTCCCTGCCCTTCAGACAATTGACCAAAATACTTCAGAGCAGTATATACTTATTATTACCATTTCTATCGTAGCTAAACATCATGTTATTTTGCAACATTAGAAACCTTATTAATTTTTTTGTAAAAAATCTTGACAGAAAGAGGGTAGTTTTGGAATGATTACCTGTTTCAAGGAATAATCTGCATTCCTCTAGTGCCATTTGGGTTGGCAGAAGCATCTTAGGATGCCAGAAAATGGATGTTCTCTTACTTGGCCATGAAAGGATTGGCATGGCAGTGGCAAGGGTTGGCTATGCCATTCATATAAAGTTAGAGCGCTATTACTACCAACAGGATTTTGCAGCAGACACAGGAAGATTGTGGTCCCTGTCAAAGCTGCAAGATGTTTTGGTGTGTGCATGGGGTGGTTCCAAATAATTATAAAACTTGTATCTGACAACCTTCCAAGAGTGGTAGTTAAAGAAGTGAACCAATAGGATGGGTACATTAATTGAGATAAATAGGTAGGCAGCCCACACTGAATGCAAAGGGTAATTATCCGTGCCCCTCCTGTAAAAGCCAACTGCACCATTACGCCCCAGTATAGAGCAAATGTGGTTAGAAAGACAGCTTTACAATGTACTGTTCCTAAGTTATTATTATACAGGATTTATATAGCGCCAACAGTTTGCGCAGCGTTTTACAATTTAAAGAAAACATTACAATACAATTCAAGACAAGATGGTGAGGAGGGTCCTGCCCTTGAGGGCTTACAATCTAAAAATTGTACATGAAGTTGAATCTAATGATCACTCATACAGGCTACATTGGTTTTATTGAGATATCACCTGTTGTTACCAGTTACTCAGTAATGATCAGTTCTTACAAACTATTGAACTAACCAAAAATACCCTTTTCTATAATACAGTGTCATAACACAATGTCATACCATATAATGGATAAGATTAGGTCTGCTTGAAAGCAGTTTAATGTATTTTGACAGTTATATGCCAACACCCTTGCAAAGAGGCATGGGGAGAATTTTGGAAATGCATGTCAATTATTACAAAATTACACCAGATGCAGGTATTGAGATATGCATTATTATTATATTTCTTCCAACATTAGCAGGATTCATTTTAAGTTTTTGAGAAAACTAGGGTCTTTTATAAATGTGGGCCTTTCCTTGGCTGTAAACTAGATCCGGGAGAATAAAGCATCTGTACAGGTTCAAGTAGGAGGCCTGGGAGAGGGATACTTTTGTCATAGGCTTCTCAGTCAGGTGTATACCAGGATGAAAGACTCCCTTTTAATCTCACCAGTAATCTAATAAAAAGTTTCCCTTCAGTTCTACGTTTTCCTTTGGGTAATACTATGATTGTGGCAATCTGGTATACAATCAACCCGTATCTTGTTATGTAATACAAATTTGTAAGTTTTCAAACTCATGCAAGTTTATTCTGCTATGGACATTTAATGGCTTATATGTCATACTTTAGAATGCATTTTGAATTGTTACATTTATTTGTCTCTCTTCACTCTTTTATCTAGATACGTTGGTATCAATGCATCAGACATCAACTTTTCATCTGGAAGATATGATGCCTCGGTGAAGCCTCCATTCGATGTTGGTTTTGAAGGCATTGGTGAAGTTGTAGCCTTGGGACTGAGTGCTAGTAAAAACTTTGCAGTTGGCCAGCCAGTTGCTTACGTCCAAAATGGCTCCTTCGCTGAGTATACAGTTGTACCAGCTATGACGGCTATTCCAATTCCTTTGGTAACACCTGACTTCCTAACTTTTCTCATCAGTGGCACAACAGCTTACATCAGTCTCAAAGAGTTTGGGAATCTGAGTAAGGGAAAGAAAGTTTTAGTGACGGCTGCCGGTGGTGGAACAGGACAATTTGCTGTACAGCTTGCAAAACATGCTAACTGCTATGTAATTGGGACATGTTCTTCTGAAGAAAAAGCAGGATTCCTAAAATCTATTGGCTGTGATCTCCCAATTAATTATAAGGCAGAAAATGTTGCCTCTGTCATAAGGGAAAAATTTCCAGAGGGAGTAGATGTGGTGTACGAATCTGTCGGTGGAGAAATGTTTGATTTGGCTGTAAAATGTCTGGCCACCAAAGGCCACCTTATAATAATTGGCTTTATTTCAGGGTATGCCACTCCTCTAGGCATTTTACCCGTTAAAGAAGCAGCACTACCTGCGGTATTACTAAAAAAATCTGCTAGTGTCCATGGCTTTTTCTTGCCCCATTATATGTCTGAGTACAAGGAGGCCATTATGTCTTTGGTGACATTGCACCGAAGTGGGAAGCTAGTTTGCGAAGTGGACAATGGAGAACTATCTCCAGAAGGCAAGTTTACTGGCTTAGAGTCTGTTTTCCGTGCTGTAGATTATCTGTACACAGGGAAAAACATTGGGAAAATTGTAGTTGAATTACCTCACCTTGTCAACAGCAAGCTGTAAAAACAGAACAATGATATAAATCACAAAAGTAAACGGTACTTTCTGCCTGCAAACTCTAAAACATGTTGTCGCTAATAGAGAGCATATTAAAAAACAGTACAAGGGTGTTGGTAAAACGTTTTCAGTGCACAAAATAAAAATTACTTATTGGGACACTTCATTGTTGTTTCACAATTAACCTTACCAATGCCATAAAGAGAAAAATTCTAATTTGTCATATTCCTTCCCATTGATCTGCATAATATACGTCTAATATAATGTTTATTCTTGTTAAACTGTTGGCAGATGAATGTAATTTGTTATTGTTGATCTAGATCTATTTTTGGATATCAGAATAGGAATCTATTTTGGTCAAAATTTATGAGAAAATAAGATATATACTTTATATAACTAAACATGACCATAGTTTAATTCTATTGATGTTTTTGTTTTTTTTAGATTTGAAATATGTAAAAATAAATAAAAGTTGTTAAAGAGATAATATTAGTCAAATATGTAAATTAATTGGAGCATAGTGGTGGAATGTGCTGCCGGTTTCTTAAAACGTATTATGCTGCTACGCATAGCCATCTCTCTGTTTTCCCATGTTCCTTATTTTCCACATACTTCTGTACTCAGTTTCATGGTCCAAGAAACCTTTAAAAAACCACAAACAAACCTTTGTGTTTGTACATTTATGGGTTTTTTCCCTTTTGGCAGTGAGCATTGCCACCGAATAAAGGTCTTGCCAAGAGTATAGAGATCCCTGCAAAAAAAGCACGTTAGCTGTTCCAAATAAACTTGTGAGATTTGTACATTTCACATAACATTCTGTTTCAGTTTTACTTTAGAAATCAACCTATTGCCAATTTACTAGGCAGTAAATATACCGTTTGTCAAAAGGATGCTGAAATATAATGTTTATCATATATATATATATATATATATATATAGATCTATATATATATATAGATCTATATATACATCTATA